AAACCGGAGCTCTGTAGCCTTTTCCCATCAAAAGTTATTCAAAAAATATCCGAGTGCATTGAATTTTTGGATCGATAATAGCCTCATTGGTTTCTGTTCATATTTGTTAAATTTTCGCTGAAAAGTGGTATATATGCAATTTCATTTAAAAATAGAGTGTCTGGTCTATTAATAAATTCAGTTGCAATGTTTAAAAATCTCATGTGGATTCAGAAAATCGCCAATACGCTAATTAGCGTGTCTCGTCTACAAAAAGTTAAGGAGGGAGTAGCTCCACCCTAACATACCCTCAAACTTTGCCAGTTTGTAGTGGACATCTTCAAAGGTATATGTGTGCAATAACGCATGGGTTGGATAAGTTTTGGTGGAGATGTGAATTTTTTAAAAATTGAAAGAATCAACTTTGCCAGCTATTTTACACCTAGTGCCAAAAGTAATTCTTACCGCCCGTTTCAACGAAGCATTTCGGAAAACTTATGTCAATGCAAAAGTTGTTCATTGCACTCATCTCTACGGGGAGACATAATTTGTTTCAGTGTAGAGGGCGTAGATACAAAGTTTCTGTGTCCGAATCTGACAAAAAAGGAGAGCCCTAGTGAGAATTCTTATAACCTTTAGAACGAGACAGCTACAGACCTGCGGTTTTCAAATTCTGAAACTAGACAGTCTAGGACGTAAATTTAAGAAAATATCAGGACTTTGAATCAGGTTTACCATGGACCATGGTGTACCATTCGGGGCAAAATCCGAAAGCGTACCGTTCCCAAATCACACTATAAAATCCAATCTCAAATAATACCAGTCGATAGCCAAAACATTTCTCTTCGAAACTACCCAAAGCTCAGTACTTCATCTTCTTTGGCTCGGGAATACAGACATTTTCCAAAGACACACATATTTCGCCTGTTACCTCCAAAAATTAAAAATGGTATATTTGACTCAATTCTTAAGAGCTCCGATTTTAGCCATTCGAAAGAGAAGACTTGGAGCCATGCTTTGAAGATGTCTTCTACAAGCTGGCAAAGTTTGAGGGTATGTTAGGGTGGGGCTACTCCCCCTTAAAGTGAATCAGAGTTTTTTTGAAGAGAAACTCGTTTTTCATGGCAAAACAGAAAACTTTACAACTCCAGAACGAGGCGTGCAAACGAGCTGAAACTTGAAAACACAGAAAACTCTACCTAACTTTGAACGAAGAGTTAGTGGAAGAAACTCGTTTAGACTTTTTACTTGCTCGGTGTCCTCTGTCGACTGAAATATGAACGAATGAAATCGGAATGTTATTCCGCAATACGTTTCCTCGTTAGAATAGTTTCACAATGATATAACAGCCATTGCAGATAAGCCACGACTAACCGTGCTCAATCGACTTTCTCCAAACTTGATTCCAATTACATAGGTCAAAAGTACAATCAATAGTAAGGTTTTTGGCCGCAGATCGCAGCTCTATAACCCAAGTAGTTACTGAGATATTCAAGTTTTAAGAAAAATTGCCGTTTTTGGTGGTAAACATCCGAAGCTATCTTTTCAATAGATTTATCAATAGGTTTGAGACCATGAGGAATGCATGAAAGCATAGGTTATCGACTATGCTGAGTCTCGTGACAATGTCTGTTTTTAGACAAAAATTCTAGAACCTGGTGAAACTGGTTTTCTGCAAAGGTTTCTAGAAAACCGTTGAACAAATATTGCGTTTTAAAATTTCTCGCTTCCATAATGACGTTTAATGGACAAAATTAACCATATCCTGAACGTCTCCACTAGTTCTGATGTATTTTGAGTCAGTTACGAATTTTTTAATATCAGCTGAAAACAGCCGGAAAAGACTAGTTTTCGTAAAACTTAGGTTTCGCTAGATTCTAAATTTTTTTCTAAAAACAAGCATTGCCACGAGACTCAGCATAGTCGATAACCTATGCTTTCATGCGTCGGCTCATAAAAGGTTAACATGAAAAAGCCTAACAAGAAAATAGAAATGAAAATGAGTTAGATGTATGGACGAGCATCTCAGTTCTTATGGTTGAAGTTGTTTAGAAATGAAAGCCATTTGAGAAGACAACGCATTTGCTCTTTTTTATCTTCTTTATATGTTTTAGTCATCACACATCATCATTGTGCAAAGTTCTTTTAACATCATTAAAATCACGACTTGGCCGTTTACTTGAAAACTTGTATATTAATATTGATGACAGTATTTCAAAAAGGTCTACTAACCATCTTTATTTTGATAATATATTTGTAATTTTACTATTACTTGTTGCAAACATTAAACTTTGAATAATTGATTTGTCTCTTTTTGAGTCAAATAAAGAAAATATTGTGAAAATATAAAAACTAATATGGGAAATATAATAGTAATACCACAATGTTATACCTTAACAAGAGTCGCTTTGATAAATATGTGTTACGCCATTTTTCTACTGGTATTCACCGGTATTTCGCCGGTATGAGATTTTTCTGTGCCGGCCGGTATCGACATTCCTTACCAGTTCCAACTCTGACCAGAACCATCTGACTGATTAGAAGATATTTGTGATCAACCAACAATTCATGAAGATGTTGTCTATAGTTCAAACGAGTTCGAGTTACTACTCGCTGACGAGCCACTACGACGATGATAAATAGTGCAGAAAAAGATGGATAGAGAGCGGGACGAGAGTGAAATAATAATATGACTGTATTATAAGTTTTAATGAAGTCAGAATAAAGAGTGACGCACCAAATGCGTTGCTCGTCGGTATCGTCAAATAAATTGCGGTATAAGGACTAATAAATGATGATGCTCATAATGCAGAACGGCAAAAAGAAGATCGTCCATCTGGCAATGTGTTTGCTCTTCATCTTGTCAAAATTGGCACCTTTAAACACAATGATCGCTCGTTCGACAGTCACACACGCATTGAGCCAATTGTTCATGCTATTTGAGACCTCGAATGCTTGTAGTTGTTTTATTTAGCCAGAAGAAAAAATAATATTGGACATTTTGATCCAAGAAACATGAAGAGTAACGGTTTCTGATCACGCAGCGGATATATGACACTGAGTAACAGCATTTGTGGATGGCATCTGGTATCACTGATTAGTCGATCAGTTCCGGAACCGATCCAGGATCTGTACTGATGAAGACAAGAAGCAGGTCTACTTCTGTGCCGGTTTCTACCGGTCAGACTGATATCGAAAATGGTCACCGAAATATCAAACTGGTTTCATATGTGAGGATTAAGGCACTATCTCAAAATTTTTGAAACAGATTCCAAACCCCTTCTGATAAGCAAAAAGTTCAATAAAACTCGAGCTTCTTAGCGATCAAAGAAGTGATGCTGAGCTGTCAAAAACAGACAAAAGGACATACAAGTTCGCAACCATACTTGTTTCATATTCGAAAGTTACTCATAGGTCCCCCTGGGCACTTTCGGCAAATCTTTTTACCGTTGTCTGTCAATTTTTAGAACTAAAATAACATGAAAAACGATCGAATTTCGGAGTCTGTACCGGGCCAGTATGGAAGTTGTACCTGGCTGGACCGGTGCTGATATGCCGGTCCGGTTCCACCTCTAGTTCTGGTTGTTCTATCGTTGTCTCGTCTCATCATTTCGTTGTCCGGTTGTGTAAAAGCGTCTCACAATCCATGGTTGTATCTATTGGGCTATTTCATCTCATTCATTCCGTCAATCGTCAGCTTTGTTGTATTTGTTCTACCATCAGAATCATACAAGAAAAAATTCGTAAAAGCGTTAGAAAAAAGTTACCCACAAGAAATGCATGGGCAATGAACTTCGATTGAAACTCTTAGCATATGTGATACTCTCACACTTTGTGTCCCAACCTTTCTTCAACATGATTTCTAGTCAAAATCGACGATGTTTGTTATACTTAAATATTGTTCATTTATACAGTGTGGTATGAGGGAGTATGATTGAGGGAATATGAGGGTGCGTATTATGAAAAGAAAGCCACGACTAGTTTCGACCTGTCTCAAAGGTCTTTATCAGGTAACTTTAAAACTTTAGTCTTGTGATCCACGTAGAGCATTTAAGGGCGCAACTTTTGAAAAAAAGCTCACGTTTTGTCATGTTTCTGAACAGAGATACATGCAAAATGAAAAATAACGCAAGAATTTTGCCACTGGCGGTAAGAGATGGTAATTCTATTGACTTTTGATGGATCTGAAGGACTTTTTCCAAAACGGAATTGCATGATTTATTGACGCTTAACAAGCAGGTCTTGCCACAAATCTTGTCTTTAGTTTTCGATACCGAACCACCAAAATTGTCAACATCCTATACTATTTTGTAGAGTTCGATTCGCTCTACAATGCTACATATGCAAATATCTTTCGTTGTTTGACATAGAAATTTTTTAAATGTAGTTTTAGCGCTGGAGGACTACAATACGTGGATTGCAAATTTGTGCCTCTGATTTGTGAGTCTTGCCATTCTTCAGAATTATTTGAAACCAAAGCCATTTTTTCCAGAAACTGCGCCCATCTCCGCATTATTGAGAGCTATAAAAACTGTATCTAGGGATCTGTCTTTCGGTTTTTGTTTCCGGAACCGCGAAGTGTGTCCGAAAGCAAAAAAGACGCGGATTTCTGGCTTTTCTAAAAACCAGAAGCATATCGGAAATTTTCGTGTTTCATATGGGTTTCCGGGTTTCCATGTTTCCAAGAAATCCGAAAACTCATATGACACGAACAAAAAAGCGCAGATTTCTCTTCTGCGTGTTTGTGATCTGCTTATAGTTTTTAGAAAAGCCAAAAATTCGCGTCTTTTCTGCTCTCGGACACACCTAGGGTTTCAAGAAATCCGGGAACCCAATGAGTTTCTAAATTTCGGGAATCTGACGACCCGAGGATATCCGAGTTTCTGGAGATCCGGAAACACATAATCAAGTGCGCCAGCGCCACTGAGGCAAAATATTTAAACACGTTTGCTATGCTGGAAACGCGTAAAATACTTTTGATATTGGTTTCTAGGTTTCTTAGAAACAGAAATACGACACCTCTAACTGTCCGTTAGACCAGCTGTGTTATCCATGAATCTAAAGAAAAAAAGAGATGAAATAATTTGCTGGGCAGTGGCAATGCCTTGACATCTTCCTCAACTGTATGTTGAACCTCACCTTGGTATTGGTTTGGCGTAGAAATACGACGACTTAATACAACAAAACAAAATAAAAAAATTAAATAAAATGACAAATTGAGGATAATACGAAAAGAAAACTAGAAATAGTACATCTAGGCGAAATGGTCAAGAACGAAGACGTAGAATGCACCTTGACTATAGCTACGATTTCACCCAGTATCATACTACCTCCATTTTGACCAATAAATTTCAACCCACTAACTTGCATACCATTCGTGACCGAGATCCTCACCGTCTCAAACATCACCGGTAAGAGTGCAATCTTTTCCGGTGGCAGGTCCATGGCATTACAACTGACAAACTGCATATTGTATCGACTTTTCAACAAAACGTTTGTACTTGCGGTAAAGCCGTTTGGAGTTTGCAGTTGGATTTCAATTTTCATTTCTCTGGGTTCAGCACATGTTAATGGATGGGTTGATGTAAACCAGCATGAACTTCTCCGAGCCAAATGAATGTCAATCATCGTTGGCTTCAGCGTGCGTGCCTTGTCGAAATGAACAAGGATCTTCTCGTTAGTAGAATTACCAAAATCAACATGAATTGCGTTCTCGATTTGATCCAAACAGTCCAAACTTAAGTTACCCTTTCGTGGTGGATTCCATATAAATTGCGGAGGTAGATCTTGAGAAGCATCGTAAGCCTTGGCAAAGGCATCGAATGTTGATTGTGCGTACTCTCGTAGGGTCATCATTTCTATGCCGGAAGTACCGACTATGTCACCGCTTCCGTTGAAGAGGAGGATAGATTGTAGAGGATTGAAATATTGCCGTCCAATCTCAGTAAGGTGAGCCGGGAGCCTAAAGTGATTTGTTCTGTTACTTAAGGCGCGCGTAATTCGAAGTTTCCACAAAATTTTATTTTTATTCTATTCATACATGACTGTATAGAGCGAAAGCCAAGGATCTCCGATTATACCTTCCGAGCCTTTGTATTGCACGTCTTTCTGGAAAAAAATTGAACATACTGAGACAGTCTCCTTTTCAAAAATACGAATAATTTTTCCACATTTAATCCTGGAAAATCGGGACACTTCGGGACAAAATCGGCACATTTTCGGAATCTACGTTCAGAGGAGAGTATAGAAAAGTATTTTTGAGTCTGTTCGGACGTTTTGTGTCCGAGCTTCGAACTTTTTCTTGAGAGGAGCTCCAAATTCGAAGCCCTATTTCGAAAACCTATCTAGTTTTTTGCTTCAATAGGTGTAGCCTTCATTTTTACGCCATTCGAACCGCCGTTCAACGGACAACAAAAGTACTTTCTCTGTTTTTCAAAATTCCTTCTCGTTGGTGAGAAAAGTGGGCTCTACTGAGAAAAATCGAAATTCTGACTCTAGTTCGCGATTTTCTCCATCAGAACTTGACTTTCACGCAATGAAAATATCATATTCGGAATCAGCCCAAAAAATCGAGTCGAATGATGAGCCTTTTTATCTTATTCGATCACTCTAATTTTTTTTGAATTTTCGCATCGAAGAATTACTGAGATTTTCATCAAAAAATGAAAATCAACCGAAACTTTTGCAATATATATCATTCGACTCGATTTTAATAAAAATTATACGCATTTTTTAACAGCCATTAAGAATAAGCCACGACCTAACGTGCTCAATCGACCATCTCAGATTTCATCGAACATAGTGGGCTTCTTTAGAGCAAACAGTTTCATGAATTTTGTCGAAAACCGCAGGTAATAATGCGCTGCTGAGGTATGCAATTTTTGGAAAGAGTCCGAAAACGCATAAATTTCAGCATCTAAGGAAACTGTCAATTTAAACTACGTACAACCCCGTAACGACACATTACTTAGACTTAAGAATTCTATCATAACTATTAGATAGTGTCTAGAAATTCACACAACCGGGAGCTTCAGACATGCTTCCGTTCTTTACAGTAGATGATCTCATGAAAGCCCAAATCATCGAACCGGCCATTTTGGAGAAAGATTTTCTCTCGGAAAACCGGGCAAATTTCTCACCTGAAACGATATGGTTGGAGTACGTCAAGTGTACTATCATGAGCCATGGTGGTATTTTTGGGATCTTTTAAAATCCTCTGAAAAACCAAGTGAGGTTTCTAGGAAACCAGACCATGAAAGTTTTCTACTCTAGTGTTTATATGTTATGCACGTATATATCTATAATTAAGCAATACTTGAACTAAAACTTTTCATTCCATCAAAACTAATCGAATAGTTATAAAAATAACTTGACATATGTAACTTGAAATGCTCTATAAAATGGTTGATATGAAAATCCTAAATTCGATAGCAAAATTTCATGGTCTGGTTTTCTAGAAACCTCACTTGGTTTTTCAGAGGATTTTGAAAGATCCCAAAAATACCACCATGGCTCATGATAGTACACTTGACGTACTCCAACCATATCGTTTCAGGTGAGAAATTTGCCCGGTTTTCCGAGAGAAAATCTTTCTCCAAAATGGCCGGTTCGATGATTTGGGCTTTCATGAGATCATCTACTGTAAAGAACGGAAGCATGAGTTTTTCTTCAGGAAGACGTGCACTAGAAAGGCTCGGAAGGTATGATCCGAGATCCTTGGCTTCCGCTCTATACAGCCATTTATGAATAGAATAAAAATTAAATTTTGTGGAAACTTCGAGTTACGCGCACCTTAATTAGTTAGTTAAAAAATGGCTTACGGAGTAGAAGGTTCGAGGAAGCTCGCAAATGCAGTATCAGCATCGGCACCGACATAGGCACGAAAAAATGATGATAATGCAAATATAGCTGTTCTACGTTGTGACTCGGATCCGTTAGTTTTTGGTAAAGTAAAATCTAAGGATGTATTGAGGTACTGTGGAAATAAATCGCTAACTTTGAAGGTTGTGGCATTTACGTCCCACAATGGATCTTGGTCACCAAAGCACGTGGGTATTGCGTATTGCCATTCGGTATTGAAGTATTCGTGGTTAGCGCCTATGAGGACATAAACAATAAATTGCTATTCGATAACAGCGGGATGAGCACTGACCATAAACATGCAGGACATAATTTGGATGCTTAGCGGTCTTCATTTGCTGGTATATGAGGTTTATATGAGCTAGACAAACAGAAAGACTAAGGTAAAGTACACACTTGTCATAGTTAATAGAATATGCGGTCATTCAAAAACATCCCAAATTGACGAGAGATTTCACAACACAAGCAAGGAGTCGTATTTGAGCTGACAAAATCGTGTTTTTCTCAATGCTTGCCAAAGTCAATTGTTCGATCAAAGTGCAGTGTGCGAATTTTTTTCTTATACAGAAAAGTTTCGAAAACATATTTTGTCGAACTTTTTTCAAGTAACCTATATAAAAGAGTGTGAAAAGCGATTCTATTCCAAACAATGTTAAATTTCACTATTAATAGATGAACCACAAACACTGATACATTGATCCTGCATATCGCGCGCTTGTCTAGAAATTTACTCGGAACAATAGTGATAACGGTCGAAATATTTAATTGACGGAGTTTCAACTTCGCAATGAACTTTGTTTTCTTCAGGGAGTAGCTATTTTTCGTTGAGTTGAGAAATATTTATACTATTTCCTGAGAACAGACAGATAGGCCGTAATTGAATGTGTGTCATTTTGCGAAGACTGAATAAAAACGATAAAATACACACAAGCATTGCTTTCTGTTCAATGTCGTATGTTGAATTCTATCTTGCAAAAATCATATTGCTTCGGTGTGAAGTGGTGATCAAGACTTTAGGCCGTTTTGTCTTCTCTCCACTGGAAAGGAGACAAAACGGCCTCTTGATGCGGAAGATGAAAAGCTAACTACTTTCAACAGAAGACGTTCTATCGGATGAAAGTTCGAGCGAACAGTGCACATTCTTTGTAAGTATACAATAAAAACTGGAATCAAGTCGTAAAAAGTGTAAGATAGTGTCAGATTGCAGTGAAGCCTGCTGCTACAATCCAAGAGAGATTATTCTAAATTCTCATAAACCTCGACTACTAAAAGCTAAAGCTATGTTTTGTGAAGTTGTCACGAATTTTCACTCAAATATACTCGAAATTATCTGAGATACTCGATATGTAAACACATCAATATCGTGAAGAAGAACATTTATTCTGCTCAATACAAGAATGTAGAGTCTATTAATATAATAGAATGAAATCTGGTCTTTTTTACTGCGCATTTTACAGGGTCTCTATTAAACGTCTTTTTTATTATATTTGTCATTTCTTGTAAAGTTCGGTCAGATAGAAAGGTTTCTTGCCAACATGTTGATTCTTGCATGTCGACTCTTTATGCTCAACATCTTTTTCTTGGAAAATTGGGTTAGTTTCGCGACATACCTGGTCTCGAACTTTTAGCGAAATCTTGGTTGAAGAACTTTCTTACAAGGTTGTGCATGTCTGCAAATAATCAGTATAGGATATAAGTGTACAAGAATAATCTTGGCCATATGAGAATGACCATTTGCAGAAGAATTTTGATTTTTGCATTTAAAAAGCATAGTTTTCGTGTATTTTTCTCGGCATCAACCTAAAAACTTATCATAAGTGCACCTTTAGATCATATTAGGACTTCTCCCAAATTTCCGGAGATTTTTATTTCTTTGTCTCACAAAGGCTCATCTCACGAGATCGGGACTGAAACGCTAGTTTCGCACATTTCAAGTCTGTGAGCTATTACTCTTCAAATTCAGATTAGATCAATATCTGCACTACAGCACATACGAGTGATGCACTCACCGTAATCGATTTCATCATCCTCGCACCCCGCTATCACGATTCCCCAGGGAATGTTGTCAACACCAAATTTGACTCCATCCTGTCCGTAATACATTGGTGCAATTTCCATAATCGCTCTGATGACCATTCCTGACAGTCGATTTCTCCACATTGACGCATCGCTCGGACCTTTATTTTCCATCAGCATATTGTAGGCATTTCGAACTCCTTCACCACCACGCGAATGTCCCATCATTCCAATTTGTGTAAAATCAAAATTGTTGGATAAATCAACGTCACCTAGTGCTTGTTTAGACTTTTCAGCGCTATCATTCCACTCCTTCATTTTTTCTAGAGTCTTGAGAACGATACGTGCCCTAACAAAGTTTAATGTGCTATCGCCGGCAATGCCCAATTTGTTATTCATTGAAACGACGTCGACCGAGGCGACAATGTAGCCGTATGATGCAAAATATCTACCAAGGTACGCAAATCCAAGGTGGTTAGGAACCTTGGACATACCATCTGGGCATTGACCCCAGCTGTCCGTGGAATTGATATCGATAGCAGGGTACCCAAGCGGAACGGGTAAACGACAGTCAGGATGTTTTCCGGGGAGAAAAACAAGAACAGGAAATGGACCTTTCGTGTTGGCTGCTGTTGAATTTGGGAAATAAAGTTGCCCCCGAATTTGAGTTGTAAGATTGTTTGAAGAAGGTGTCAGTTCTGTATCGTAAGCAATTGGATATTCATAAGAAGCTGTAACAGTATCAAAAGGGCCGTTCTCGAGGATCTTGTTGACGTCAGTCTCTGTTCGTTGATGCTTTAATGATATAAAATTTCCATTTGCGCATTATATCACTTTTTTTCATGCTAGTAAGGATGTCTTACCGTGTTCGGAAGCCCCACACAACTGTCGAATAGCACAATTGAAAGCACAATAAGACAACCAAAATGCATGATTTTTAGGTTGATAATGTTCAACAAATTGATATGGAAGCAAACAATTTTGAAACGTTGTATCGCTCCGCAAAATGAGGGCCTATAATGAAAGATTCTTGTGATCGGGTAAAGAAATATGATTAGTCTGATTTTGTTACTTGTTCTCGAGCACAAGACGGTTTTCGCGTTGGAATAGTTATAATCTCTTAGATCAGATTCATGCTTTCATAATGAGAGTTTTTTGCTTTTCTTTCTTATATATGACGAATATAACGCAAAAGAACACATAAAAAAAAGAAGATTAGCTTATTCAAATAATGACATCAAACGGCATTTTTGCATGCATTCAAAGGGGAGAGATATCAAGCTGCCCACTCGATGATTCACACAAATATTTTCTCACACTTGCACCTTTGTATTGACAATTTTGCATGCGTTCTTTTTTTAACTCCGCGCTAAAAAAGAATGTGTTGCGTGTGTCATGAATGAGTCTTATTCTTAATTCACTTGTTGGGCACCAGACAGCAAAAATAGTACTCAACGTGTTCTAATTTGTTCTTGGTTTGTTCTCTTCGCTTGCATAGAAGCTGTTTGGAAATAATGTTGCTTGTCGCTTCTCTTCTTTTATTTCCTGTTATCTGTGATGTTCTCTTTGTCTCTACCCTCAGCACCAGTAATCGATCCTGCTACAAGAAAGACGATACATCTGTTCCAAGCAAAGCATTTCTGAATTAAACTCGAGAGTTTGGTTTTCTGAGATCACGATTTCACTAGTTTTCGTAGAACCTTTGTATACGGCACATCAGATCTGAAATTTTTTAAATAAGTGCAAGTAAAGACAAATATACAGGGTGATAGAGAGTTTCGTTCGCTACTATAATCTATAATTATTTTTCTAAAAGTGTATTTTTATATTGGTGATATATTTACAAAAACGACTGAAACTATTTTTTTCCTGGCGGATATATCAGAATTTTAGTGTTCAATATGAAGAATAGAATTTAAATCATATATTCATAATCAGGAAGAATTTAAAAATTTTCAAAATCCGATTAAAAACTGTTTTATAACCGGAAAAGTTAAGGTAACAGTAGATTATAAATGTATATTCATAAGAATACAGCTCAAAGTGTCTCCTTCAAAATGGAAGTTAAGCGATAAGATTCAAGATATCCAGTGATGCTGGCGTGGATGGAATTTCCAGCAACTCTAGGGACTAGTACTTAGTGACTTCGATTAGCGTTGAAAGCATGAGAGACATGCGTAGTCGACCATGTTGGATTTGATGGAAACGTTTTACTTTCGAACAAAAATCTAATGAGAACCGTATTCTATTAAAACTGGAATTTCGAGGCTGTTTCCATATAAGATTAGAAAACTCCTTCATCACATAGAAAGCGTCAGAACCAGTTGGAATTCTCAGGATATATGGCATTTATGCTATTCTAAAACCCAATTTATAATAAATTCATAAAAACAATTAGAAAAGGTTATGATTTTCTGAAGGGTTTCTAGAAATTCCAAGGACTTTTTGATAGAGTAGGTTAAACTTGGAAATTTTCTTTGAAATGGTTCTAAGTTCTATAGTCCATGTTTGCATACGCCGCAAAGCCCGAAACAAATAGACTAATTCGGTATTCGATCCCATTCGGCAAAACAGCGATCTAATCAATTCCAGAAATTTTATGTCGAATTGAATGGAACCGATTTAGGATTCAAAACAGTTGTCTCGAATCGAACTGAACCGAATTTGTATACAAAAACTGTTTTTTGTCTTTTTTTTTCTTTACATTCAGCGTTCACACGATGCAGACTCCTTAACCAATCAAATAATTCTGCATTAGATTTGATTCGGCAAAAACCGAATCGATTCAAAAATGTTACCGCGAATCGAATTGAATCAGGTTGTCCTGATTCGCTTCAGGCACTGATACGCCGATATCGTCGGGATTAAATCTACTTATAATATGTTTTTCATGATACTCATTTTCTTCTAAATAGGCGACTTGCAAGACTTTACAGAGAAGCCACCATCCATCGGATTTCGGTGTCCATTGGGTACTGGGTTTTTTTTCTACATTTGCACTCAATAAGCTTGGTACAAAGAAGAAAGATTCTACAGTTTTTGCTAAAAATGCTATTTATGGTATACCAGGCAAATGTGGATGCATCTATGTCGGAGAAACGGAAGATTTTGAAAGACGCCA